GAAGTTCAAAGTCAAGAGTTTAAGAGTTAAACCAAGAGTTAAACCAACAACCCCTCAATATAAAAGAAAATGTAATTTGGTTAAACATGGTGACATATTTGGCCACTGAACAACAACTGTTTTAAGGCTTTAGAAAATGCTGCCAGTGTTGAAAGTTCTCGTATGTAGTGCGCTTCGTTGTTAAAAAAAAAAAAAATGTTTATGGACATTTAGCCTAAATAATACTAGACTAGAGCCTCAGACTACTGTTGCTTTGTTGTGAGTCTGTCCTGTCACTCCTCTCTACAGCCGGATGTCTCAGTCCTGTTGCCGTTGGATGATCCTGCCCTGCACCAGCCTCTCTCCTCTAACATGGGGGTGTCCATGCGCGGCCTGGAGATTTTCTACTAACCCCCCCCCTCTGAACTTTGACCTCCGCAACACCTCCCCTCCTCTTCTTCTTCATCTTCTTCTCCTCCTCTTCCTCTTCTCTCTCCAACGTGCTCCTTCACTTCCGGGGGCACTTGCTGTGTGTGGCAGGTCGGAGTCTCCTATCCTTTGTTCCTCTCATCCTCCCATCCTGTCATCCTTCCTGCTTGTGAGAATGCAACTGTGTTTTTTTCCATATGATTTGATTTGCATGTTATTTCCATGATTGCTTCGCCTGCCTGTCCTATTCTTATTCAAAGCCACTTTCTGAAAAATCCCCTGGAAATGTTTGTACATAATTATAATTTCCCTTTTCAAAATGACATATAATTTGTATATGTGATATGACACATTTTTACTTGTTGAGTCACTCTGAGAATTATAGCAAAGAAGCTCTTGGGAAATGTGGTCAGGCGATAGGTGGGGAGACCTGGGAGTTTTTTTATAACGGAAACGTAACCATGAATTTAAGCTTAAACTTCTCTCGACATTGAAATTGCAGTTTTGGTTTGAGAAAGATGTGGAAAACAGATACGAATGTAGTTTTTTGGGTTTTTTTTTTTTTTCAAATTTGGTCAACATGTATTTGTGAGGGATGTTACAATATTCAGTTTTATATTTGGATTATTATAAGAAGTGATATCTGTATTTTTCTTTTGTCCATAGTGTCTAATATTTTATCATTCCTCTATGTTAGCGGCATCACTATCTAAATCAGTGTTTCCCAAAGACTGGGCTCTCAGGTGGGTCACGAGATTTTTTTTTTTTTTTTTTTGGGGGGGGGGGGGGGGGGTCGCCTTGTCACGATTTGCATGTAGATGTGCAATATGACATTGAAATACTGCTGCACTCTCCTACTGCACTACAAAAACTCAGACTGTCCCACCTATCTCATTAGAAATGTTGAAATGTTAAGACATGTTTTGTATAATTTCTAATCTTTTTGTAATTATTTTATTGATTATTTTGTTCCAGTATTGCTGGTTCAATTGAATGTTGAAAAGAAAAAGGTGACTTATGGATCCTTTTATTGCTGCTTCAATGACAGTTTTTCATTGTTTAAAACTTGAGTAATACTAATTGTACAGAGAGACACGATCACTCCGTCAACAATAAAATATCCTCATTAATATTCAATAATGGTCAAATCCACCTTTATTTTATGATTTATGAATATTGTCTATTGACTTGGGTCGCAAAGGTTTGTGACTTTTAAAATATTGGTCCCCAGAAAAAAAGTTTGGGAAACACTGATAAAGTTATTGTGACTTAAAGGGCCCATATTACGCTATTTTCTAATCTATATTATAATGTTGTTTCCTCATCAAAAACAAACCTGAAGCTGTGTTTAGTTCCATTCACACATGCTTAACACACAAATCCTGCAAGATGACTTTTCCTCTCAAACTGAAAACATTGTGTTCCACCTTGTGATGTCATGCGGTAATACAGGAAGTGCTCCACTGAGATTTTAAACTCCTTGCACCTTCATTAGAATCATTTGGATAGTTTCAGCCTTGGAAATGCCGCTGAACTAAAAGTAAAATGCAGCTGTTAACTTGAAAACTACCACTACATGACATCACAAGGTGGAACAGAGCAGTTTGAACTTTGGAGACGTTAACAGACTAATAATAATAAAGGGTTACTCAGACATGTATGAATGAAACAAAACACAACTCTAGATATATTTTTGATGAGATAACAACATTTTTTGCATAATATAGGACCTTTAAACAGCCAGATAAAAAGCACTTTATATATAGTTTTACATTTTCTTCTTATTAAAAGTACTGAAATTGTGTAACCTTAAGAATCACAATCAAATGACCCAATATTTTTAATGCATCTCTAGTAGTTGTTGAACACATTGAACTAAACTGACTTTAATCTGCCTATATGGTCAACTTATCTTTTTTGTTTTATTTTTCATTTATTTTTTGACTTTTTCACATTGGTATAGTAAGATCTTTGCTTACTCATTGGTTTGGAAAAGTGCTTGTTCAATATGCAAGACACCAACATTATAGTTTTTTGTTTTTTTTAATATAACTAGTCTTTTGTGGTAAAATGGCAGTATGTAGTCAGTGTACAACCTTTCCAATGAGCAGGTATCCAACAGGGGAATCATTTTGCTATGGTTCAATCTCTCAGACTAATTTGAACAAAAACTGTCATGGCTGTTAGCGACTTTACCTGATTTGATTCGTGGAAACAAATCTATTTTAATGATGCCCCCTGTTACTACTCTATCACTAACACCACCTGATCATTTAAATAACTTATGTTTAGTGCTGTGAAAAAAGCAACTGCAATCATTTTTCAGCCAATTAGAGAGAGGCGAGCCGTGGAGTCAGAGCGGGGCCACAGCTGTTCCAAAGCAGCCATGGGGCCACCTGCCGAGAAGCACAGCACCTCTGAGGCTGGGCCCTGTTTATCACTAACCCAGTGTTTGTGAGGGGAAGAAAGGCTGGTGTTTGTGAGGCCACTGTTTAGAATGTAAAGGGAAGTTAAATACAACAAAATGGGGTGATTTCAGGCAGCCGCACACACGAAATATGGTTGGACGAGTGCCACAGAATACTGGAATAATTTCTATCAAACTAATGGGTAACACTTTATGGTAACTACACTTTAATTAGCTCATTAAGAATTAGGTCTTTCTTCTTGCTTTGGCTAATTAAAGGTACAGTATGTAACTTTCATACATGATTCCATGGAAATAGAAAGTTAAAACAATACCAACCAAAAAATCATACCAACAAACTGAAATTCTCCATCGAGATAGATGCAAATATTATAGTGAAAGGAACAATATTTCTATGAAAACAAATTAGTTGCCCTCCTCCAGCCTAAATAAGAGTCAGGTCTGTGGAGATGCAAGCCAACTCACAATAAGGTTTTTATAGATCATTCTCAGCTTTTGTCACTGAAACTGTGACTTATTTGTTATTTGTGCATGTTTATGTACATATACACACTTTTACACACTTGTGCACCTGGCGCCTCCACTGTGCTCTCAGTGCAGCCCACACTTACAGGGACGGCTTTGGACCCGCTGTCCGCACTTGCCCTTCTAGTAGATAGAACAAGCAAATCCGGCATTAAATTAACTAAATTGTACCTCCAGGCCACCTCCTCTTCTTGGTCGAAAATCAGCAGAGACGCAGTTACCGTTACTTTGTTCCCCTGTTTACCTCGTCATTCAATCCAATGTAATGCACAGGGCTGCGGGATACTTTCTCAGGATTTGCTTCATTTCATTCCTCATCTGTGCCCTTTTCGGGGCTATGTAAAAAAGAAACAAAATGGCAATTTTTTTTCACAGTAACTGTAATGTTAACTCCTAAATAAAACATCAAGACATCCCTTGTTTTTACATTGGGTTAACATTAGCTGCTTATGCTGTTTTCCACTTGCCTTTGACATGAAGATGAATATTTATATTTATAAGCCTCTAAGAACTTATAAGCTTTCAGTTGTCAACTGTCAGTTAACCAGATAGTTGGTAAGCTAAATCGAGTAGCATTATCTCCGTCAGTTTTGGAGGTTTGTAAACTAAGATTTTGGAAAATTATACGGGTCTTTAGCACCAACAAATGCATGACCATCCTCCCAGCTGAAAAACAGCTCTTTACTCTATAACAGGGATGGGTTTCAGGCTTTTTTGCCTTTGATCTATATGTGTTTCAGTGCAATAAACACAACCACCTGTATTTTAGTCCCTTAGGCTGAAAAGTTACATACTTTAAGGTGTAGTTATTTTAAAGTGTTACTGACTGATGAACATTTCCAAATTGTCCATGGTTCAGTCCTCATCTAAATTTTTTTTTTTGAAAAACATCAAATGCCCTTTTCTGAATCGTGTGTTATGAGTTACTGCCATCAAATTATAAAACAAAACTCAGAAACAATCCATCAAACATTACATAATTCTGAATATACTGCTTTGCAATACATTTACACTTAGCTCTATGTCCTCAGTCTTTTTAAACTGAGTATATGAGTTTTTGTCTCCCACATTTTGTTCATCAGATTCTAAATATCCATCAGGCCTCATCAAGCATTCGGTTGTGTTGCCTTGGGGGACTGGCACACACCGTAGCAGACTTGGGACCATTCGCCAAATAGCTGTAGTTGGATTTAGCTCTGCGTCATCAGCCCAGTCTGTGTGTGTGTGTACCTGTACGTGTGTGTGTGTGTGCTCCGAAAAGACCCCCCTATGGCTCCGACTTATTGTTCAACACCAAAGTGGCTCTTTTTGATAGATTTTTATGGTCAACATTTGTCCTGGAGGAATAACTATGTGAGGGTCATAAAATCTGCTGATACTAGCTATTAGCAATGACAGTAGTGGACACACGGACTCCAAATACGCCAATGCTGTCTTATCATTTCTCCCTCCTGTTTGCAAAAGTCTTGACCTTGTGTTGTTAAGAATTATCGCCTCTTCGCACACAAAATGGGCACTCATTGATTTGTGTTGCACCTTTTTTCCACTTTTATTTTTTGGTTAACCTTGTCTTGCGGTCAGAATAATGACACAATGCAAAAAGATTAATAATTTCTTCTTCTCTTCTCTCCATCCACAGGCCTTCAACAAAAACAATCTGCTCTTGGAGGAACGAAACAAATATTTCAACCCACAGCTTGCTGGAAAAACATATACCAACGCATACTTCACTGACCTCAACACCTACGATGACTATTAAGCTGACTCCTGACTCCATATCTGGCAACCACCCCCATTTTCACCATGCATATTCTTTGTGCTTTGTATTGAGATTCGTATGCGGGACTGTCCCTTATCAAGACAATATGGCAGCTCTTTGATGACAGTTCAATTGACATGGATATTGTTGCCAACTAAAAGGGAAAGCCCACTTTTTCACAGGTGCCTTGGGGTACACTTAAAAAAAAACTTTTCAAAAACTGGATATTTCTTTTGTTGGTGAGGACAGAAAGAAGAAAAGACATTGGGAGAAGATTCCTTTTAAAGTCCCCTGTGCAGCCTCTAAAACAGACTTGTATTTGTAACAAGGGAATTCACCACAACACACACATGCATGACTTCATCTGATCTCTTTCCTCTGCTGTTTTGGTTTTGTTTTGCATGATTGATCGCATTCCAGATTTTGACAGACTTTCAAATACACGTTATCCGGGTCACTGGGCTAACACTAGGCTCCACCATTTTGGGAAACTTCAAATTGCAAGCTCGCGGTCAAGGCGCTCAACATTCTCCGCTCCAGCGATCTCTGGATTGGTCCAAGTTCCAGGATGTAGATACTCCGAAGCCTGTGGTTCAGTTAGTCCATGTTTTGTTGAGCTAAAGCAGCCATTAACGCTTTTAAAGGTGCATATTTTTTGTACAGAAATGTTACTTTAAAATCTATGTCTATTTTTTGTATACATGTATTCAAAGTCTCCAGTGTTAAAGAGAAAGTAGAAGTTTAAACATGTGTATTTGACGAGGACTCATCAGCACCATCTCCTGTCTTTGTCGTCATACTTTTATATTTTTTGTAAAGAAAAAAAGATGAATTTTGATAGTGTTATCTATTATTTTTTTGACAGGACATTTAAGGCATTTATTGTACAGCCGTGTGAAGCAAAACTGGAGCACTTGCCCTTAAGTAAACACCTGCAGTCCGCCATCTTGTCAAACATATTCTGTTCAAAGTGGATAATGATTTGGTTCTTCTATGGTTCAGTTGCAACTAACTCTTTTTACATGTTTGCTTGTGTTCCTGTGCATAAATTAAAAAGAATATTGCTTCTTACGTCACAGTGTGTTGACTTATGACAAATCTGAGTCGTTGAAAATGTTTATTCATGATTCTTTTTTTAGTGAATATGAATATTGTAAAGCAAATTATTTCAGTTGTTCAAATATTTCAAATGTGTACTCAACATTTACACCAATCAAAAAAGTAGGTACCACTTCACAATAACTCTACATATACACTACACATAATGACTTAATTAAGAGCTTAGAGTGAAGAGTATGGCTCTGAAGGAGACCTATTATGGTTTCCTTCTCATTGACCCACTTGAAGTGGTATTTAACTTGATTCATGAATGCAGTCATTTTTATTCTCCTGTACTCAAGGTGTCATTGCTACACTGTACCCCTGCTTTCACTGCCACCAGCCAACTGCTCAATAGTCTGCTCCTGTCCAGAGGAGGGGCTGACAGCAGGGCCCGGGACATTGTTGTAGTAGTTGTAGTAGTAGTAAGTAGTAGTAGTATAATACACATCCGTAAATATTGGAGGCAAGTGTGTCTAGCCCAAGGACAAAAGTGTTTTCAGCTGATGTGCTATGCAGTAAGTTCTTAAATTGAAAATTAAACAAAGGTTTAACACATTCTGTGTTCTGAAATGATGTATTTCTTCCCAAAAGAAACTGCATTGATTTTTGTATCAAAACACTAGACAAAACAAAACGCAATGCTCATAACAAATGAAAAACCAACCTGCCACATAACTTCACTAAATCTTTGACGAACAAAGAGAATAATCCTGTATTTTACTGCATTTACACAATGTAGTGATGTTCTTTTTCCAAAACAGCAACAGAAAAACGTAAAACTAAGAGCTCTAAGCGGTCCTCATCGTCTCTCCATAAATCAGCCTGTGAAGTCCACTTGCACATGTTTTTTTAAACAAGTCCTCAGCAACCTCTCCTCTGTGACAAATAGTCCCTGTGGCAGCGTAAGGATACCTGAAGGAGACAAATGTATGTGAGGTGGCAGTGGGTAGTCCTGCTCCACAGCTGTAATGTGTATGAAACCACTACGCCTCACCCAGACCTGTTCTCCATCAGCCCTCAGCCCCACGCCCTCCTGTGAGCAGAGGAGACCGGTCAGGCTGTAATTAATCACATGACAGCACGGGGGCGCCACGTGGGAGGGGCAGTGCTGATGCATGGGGAGAAGAAGTGGCTCTAAATTACTCTGGGGAACTGTAAGAGCTTTTTTTAATAACTGTTTTTACAGCAAACATAAGTCGTTCTATCAAAGAGTGCAACCGCCTGCAGAAATACATAAATAAATGACACTAAATATTTATTGCAACAGAAATGGGATGAGACTGACTGTGATTTGGTGCAGAACCTTCTAAAATTTTGGGTTGAAAATTGATTATATTGTCAGAGACTGATTTTAACCCCAATTGGTGATGGTATCGAACCTTTTCCATAGTATCATAATGGAGTTGGAAAATTTAATACTATGACAGCACTATTGTCATTGAGCAAGACACTAGTACAGTCACAGCAGTAGTGATTGTCCATTGTCCACTGCTCTTGACATAAGCATCATTGGTAAAGCAGACAAATCCATGGTGCAATTCCAACTCCCACAGATGAATACTGTCATTGTGTCCTTGAGCAAGACACTTAACCCACCTTGTCCCCTGTGTGTCTGTCCACTGGCGTAGGAGCGTGTGTGTGAATGAGTGAGTAGTTCCTTGATGTAAAGCCTTGAAGATCGAAAAGAGCTATATACAAAAGTGAGCATTTACCATGTTGCAACAAGGAGGGCTTTTAGCTACATATGTTCTTTTCCCACTATGTTGTATACGGTCTTTCTTGTCCTATCCAGTCTAAATCATCACTTGAATGTCTTTCACATGACTGTATTTTCCTTTGTCTTTGCTGTCAGTAAATTGTGATGAATGAAAGAAAAGTGCAGCCCTGTCACAGCTCAGCCTTGGTAATTGTCAGTTTTTTTCAGTTTGAACATGTGCGCTGGCCCACACTTCTTCACACACTCCTGTCATCCCTCTGTGACCACGGCGACCACAATAAATGACTTTCTAAAGTGGCATTTAGGGACCGATAAAGGTCACGGTAAAGGTCATCGGAGAAGGCGCCCTGCTCGTCCTGATCTGTCTGAGAGCGGATTTCGTGCAACCAGAAGAGCATTTGAATGGTCTGCTACATGTGGAGCTTCAGGTAGAAATTTTGAGATTTTCTATTTCACTTTTTTTTTTAATCAACAAAATATTCCAACATCTTGTCTACCTTCAGAGAATAGAGTGGTGGTATTGACTGGGGGCTGTCAAAATTGAATTTTTAACCAGTAAACTCAAGGTGAAACACAACTAGTTTTATAGTAGTTCCCACAGCACACATTTCTTTTTAGTTCTGAATTTGCTGGTAAACTTCCAGGTCATAGCCAAAGCTTGCTGTGAAATGGTTTTCAGATTCTAGGATGTGATTATGTCAAACTCCCAGATGAGAGCTAGAGCCAGTTTTCTCAACTGACAGTGATCAGAAGAATACTTTGAAAATGTATTTAACTAAAGAATACTGAATATCCAAATTAAAATGTAGTTTGTAAAATATTCTGTTACATGGTCCAATCAGAGCACTGTATTCTGAATACTCTGAATACTTTTATGGTGAGTTACATTATAATCATAATGTAAAAAAAAACATGATCTACAACAACAAACAGCTTTATTTTTGTCAAACTTTATATTAATTTATGTCATGTTAGACATAAAAATCACACATGCACATACTTGTAAGAGCTTAATTTCTTTTTCTCACTAATAATGTGCAGTTCAATGCCAAACTTACATTAAGTACTGTCATATGTTCCTTTTAATTTAGAGAAGTAACTGTATTCTGAATGAAAGAGTAAATGTACCAGAATACAGTTCCTCAGAATATATATTTTCAGTACATGTATTCAGTTACTTCCCAACACTGCTTTTTGATTACATTGTTCTTTGACATGAAATATACAAAAATACATTTTCAAACGCTGAACCTGATAATTATTCTCAGTAACTTGACACTAAATTCATTATGTTCCAACAAAAATCAGCATTTTAATTTTAGCTGCAGTCATCTGTATTATAATCTTACTGGTGTATGGAGTGTTGTGATACCATTTGAAACCCAGCAATAACAAGTCTTATTTTGATTTTGGATTAAATGGATGAAAATAAGTTGTGTGATTAAGTTAATGCTGTTGTCTCATTGGGCAAGACACCACTTACCTTGCCTCCACTCTGCTGGCAGCTGGGCGAGCCGATTGCATGTAGTATTTTGAGTAGAAGCAATCCATTGTAATTATTGAAAGATTCCTATATTTTTTCCTGTGGCTAAGTCAATCTCCCCCCTTCATTGCTCAGTGATTGCTTTATCGATTTAGGATTAGTGCTGTTGATAAAATATGTACATTTAACTCCGCGTTATTGCTTATTGACAACAACTCTACCAATCCACAAATGTCAAGACACAAAAGCTCACATTGTCGTATTGATTTCCATATGGTGAGGATATGAAGTATTATATAAACCACTCTGCCTTGACGTGGTACACAGCGGTGTTAATTAGCAGCTGTATACAGACTAAGTATAAATAAGGTGAGTGAGAGATGGCATTCCTTTGAAGAAGCTAACTGCGCCTTAACACTTCATTCAACACCTTTACTTTTGTATATAGGACTTACTGTCTTGATACCACTATATTTGAACCTGAGCTGCTCTTTTATCCTGCTATAAGAAGGTAACTCATGTAGGGTTAGCAAAAGCTCTTGTGAATTTACCTATTTCCCATATTATACTATTATCTATGTTATTATACTGTTGTTTTCTCATCACAAACATGCCTGGAGTTGTGTTTTGTTTCGCTTACACATGAACACTCCATTAAAAAGGTGCTTAATGTAAGTTTTCGGTTGGGGGTCCAGAACCTGTGGATATGTCATTACTCTGCCTCAAATGTTAGGACATTAAACAGGCCTTACATTCATATATAATTCATATTCAATTACAGGTGGTTTTATAGCAACAAAGCAGCAAAAACAGGCATTCTGACTCTGAGCAGGGTTGCTTTTCCACAGATCTGACCTGTAACTTGGTCTGGTTTGGTTTCCATGAAGATAGAAAAGTTTAATACCAAATTGTGAAACATTCTAGACAAAGCAATAATATCTCCACATGGAAAAGCCACCAGAAAAGTTACACAATGCACCATTAAACACCTTTACTTCTCTGTATAGGATCTATTGTCTTCATATTGTCTTCTATATTTGAACGTGAGCTGCTCCTTTATCTCACTATAAGGATGTAACTCAAGCAGGGTTAAATAGCAACAGCTCCTGTGAAGTTACTGAACCAATTGGCCAGCGCTGTAGTAAGACTGTGCCAACTCACTGGTCTTTAGTGTGGACAGAGTCCAGGGCAGACCTCATGCTGTCACCGCTCTGAAAAATGCAAGAGCTGGCAGTATTTGCTGATGTATGCTGCTGTGTTGAGACAGTGGGAGAGGTGAGGGGAGATGTTAACTGAGCAAACCAGCTGTGAATGTAATGACAAATATTATTCATGTGTAAGGGTGGACTGTGTCACTTTTTGGTTGGGGGTCCGTCACCTGCTTGTTTCTGTGGATATGTTATTATTCTGCATGGAATGTTCCAAAATATGACTTTAAACAGCTCTATCTTACATGTATTCAGTTTCAGGTGTTAAGAAATACTGGTCGGACCCAAATATGCAGAAAAAAGGTATTTTAATAATAAAAATAGTTTTTGGGGGGATAGGTTGCAGGGGAGGCAGGACAGGTCCAGGTTGGCTGCAGACAGGAGGAATTCTCAAAACCATACAAAAAGCCTGAGTATACGGTCACCACTTGAATGACAGAACGATCTGGC